TCCACTTTCTTGGCGCTAAACGTCATTTTCATCAAATTTTGATGATTTTACCCTCCATTCAAATAAAACAAAAAGAAAAGAAAGAAAAAACCAAAAAACTAATTGCAACCACATTCCCAAAATTTTTGAAAATTGCAAATGGTAACTTGATAATTATCATATTAAATAAATTGAAAAAAAAATCAAAAAATTAAGAGAAAAAAATTAAAAAATGGATTCCCCACCCCACCATACAAAATCTCTCTGCACAGCAATCCTCCAAATTCGAAGCCCTATTACATCTCTCTGCACAACTGAATAGGATATAATTCATAAATCAAACTACATGCAACTTTAGAAAACTGAAAAACTGAATTACAAAGAAAGATTAAAAAGTAAAATGAACTTACAATGTAAGAGAGTGCAATATCAGGGTCAATGGTGGAATCGTCACCATCATTCTGAAAATAGCCAACCTCTCCTTCTTCAAGTTCGTTTTCTTCCATTTCTAACCCTAAACCTAACAAATTTTTCCCATCTATATTACCCATAGAAATCATCAAAACTGAAAAATAACAATAATAGAAGATAAATAGCAAAAAAGTAAGCTATTAACAACCCTCGAGAGATGTAATGGGGCTTAATTTGGAGGATTTGCTGTGCAAAGAGATTTTGTATGGTGGGATGGGGTGTCGTGAAGAAGACAACCCATTTTTTAAATTTTTTTTCAATTTATTTAATATTGTAATTATCAAGTTACTATTTGCAATTTTTAGAAATTTTGGAAATGTGGTTGCAATTAGTTTTTTTTTTGTTTTTTCCCTCTCTTTTCTTTTTGTTTTATTTGAATGAAGTGTAAAATTGTCAAAAATTGATGAAAATGATGTTCAGCGTCAAGAAAGTGGAAGGTAGGGACGTTTTGTGCCAAAAAATGAAAGATAGAAATGTTTTCCACAATATACTTGAAAGGTAGAGACATTTTGTGCCAATTACCCTAAAGAATAATATACAATATAATTAATAAAAATTTTAAAAATAGGTAACCAAAGACATGAGAAACTCGACTGAATGTTAAAATATGGGGGGATAAATAAATGAAAAAGAAAATAAATGATTGAGAAAATCAGTCAATCGCAATCACCAATGAAGGATTCCTCGAAAAGTTAAGGATAAAGCCAAAGATGACCCAAGACAAGGTCAAATTGTTGGGAAGGGAACATGATCAATAGAACGTTGCTTTTACCGTTTTAGATGAAAATGAAATTAAAAAAAATAAAAAATTGTTGTGTAAAATTTATATAATGTTATGGGAGAACTGCAATACAGTCACAAACATTTCATTTTATTGCAGACTTTACACAAATTTTTCATTTGTGTCATCCACAATTTTAAATCTTTCATTTCGTTGTAGTAGAAGGAGATGGATGAATTCTATCCATTTGGCCATTAGTTGAAAAAAAAAAAAAAAAAACAAAAAACAAAATTTACTGTTCATCGCGGTACTGTTCACACAGAATTTCAGTTTAGTATTTTGGTCAGTTTCTTAAAAAAGAAAAAAAAAAAAAAAAAGTATTAATCGCACAAAACATCCCTATGTTTGACACTTATTGTGAAAAACGTCCCTCTGTTTCTTTTTTTTTCTTTTTACTTTTTGCATTTTTGTCCTTATTTCAACGTTTCATTGTTAAAAATGTCATTTTCACTATTTTTAAATGTAAAATAACTAAAATACCCTCCTATTTAAATAAAACCAAAAAAATAAAAAATAAATTGCAATCTTACTCCTAAATGTTTTAAAAAGTGCAAGTAAGTCCAAATAATTATTAAAAGGCCTAATAGCACAGAACGTCCCTATGTTTGGCATGTAGTGTGCAAAATGTCCCTACGTTTCAAATTGATGAAAATGACGTTTTCCGCAATGAAACGTGAAAATAAGGGTGAAAATGTAAAAAAAAATTAAAAGAAAAATTAAAACTTATGAACGTTTTTCGCAGGAAATGTCAAACATATGGACGTTTTCCACAAAAAGTATCAAACGTAGGGACGTTTTGTACTATTAGGCCTTATTAAAATTAAAACCCTTGCCAAACTGCCGAACCTCTATATCATTTCCAAAATACCATCACCCAAACTCCGTCGGCACCACCTGTTCCGAAGAGATCCATGTCATTTCTCACACACCAATCGACTATAGTCACCAGGACGCTTATCTTCATGGTCTTAAAACATCAACAGATGGTTCAGCGATATGGAAGTTCGGCAGTTTGGGCGATGGTTGGTTGGAGTTTTTTCATTTCTAAGGTGGCAGTCCCATTTGGAGAAGAAGAGACCATGAAGAGAAGCGCCCTAGTGAGTATAGTCGATTGGTGTGTCGGAAGTAACATGGATCTCTCTAGAATAGGTGGTGCCACCGGAGTTTGGGTGATGGTATTTTGGAAATGGTATGGAGGTTTATCGGTTTGGCAATGATTTCAATTTTAATAAGGCCTAATAGCACAAAACATCCATACGTTTAACACTTTTTGCGAAAAGCGTCCATACCTTTGACACTTCTTGCGGAGAACGTCTATACGTTTCAATTTTTTTTGCATTTTCATCCCTATTTTCACATTTCATTGCGGAAAACGTCATTTTCATCAATTTGAAATGTAGGGATGTTTTGCACACTACAAACCAAACATAAAAACGTTTTGTGCTATTAGGCCTTTTCATAATTATTTGGACTCACTTGCACTTTTTAAAACATTTAGGAGTAAGATTGCAATTTATTATTTATTTTTCTTTTATTTTTTGATTTTATTTAAATATGAGGGTATTTTGATCATTTTACATTCAAAAATGGTGAAAATGACGTTTTTAGCAATGAAATGTTGAAATAAGGACAAAAATGCAAAAAAAAAAAAATGAAACGTGAGGACGTTTTCAGCAATAAGTGTCAAACATAGGGACATTTTGTACTATTAAAGCTTTTATCAAAATAGGTCAACTTTTTTATTTTCTGGTCAACTGATGGTATAGATGGAAAGATCTATTTGTTCATATATTGTAACTAAAATAAAGATTTTGGGCTGTGGATATCACAAATGAAATGTTTGAACAAAGTTTGCTTGAAGAAGAAAGGTTTGGGAACATGGCTGCGATTCTCCCTTAAATTAATTATGGGTGTATTTGATTGACTTTGTTTTTTATGAAAAATGTTTTTTTTTTTCACAAAAGTTCCTACTTTTGGGATGTTTGATTAACATTCTTCTCCATAAAAAATGTTTTTCAGAAGTTGGTCACATGATGATGTTTTCTTCAAAAATAAAGAAAATATTCTTTTGGATGGGGTTGATAAAACATTTTTCATGCAATTTTACACTTTTCAAAAACTCAACTTTACTTTCTCTCTCTCTCTCTCTCTTTCATTTACTCATAAATAAAGATGAAAACTACAACAATTTTTAAGTTGAAAATTAAGTTCCTCAAACACATTTATTTGACAATTTTCATACAAACAAGTGGTAGGCAGTTCAATTGCTTATAACTTTATATGAGCTTGTTTGAGCCCTATTATTTGGAAAAAAATGTCTTTTTCTACAGTATTTTGACATCATTTTAACCACACATTCTTTAATAAAACAATATTACACGTAAATTCAAAATTTTTCCTTAGTTTTTAATCACACATTTCTCATCAATACACTATTTAAAAAATTATTTTTCCTAAAAACCGGGGCTCAAACAAGGGCTATATATGCATCAATATGTTGTTTCACTAGCTATAGATACATACTAGGTTAAGTAACAAATTCCATCTCTTCTATTCTCATCTCCTACATCTTACATTTGATTAATTGAGTCTAATGAGGCTCAGGTACAGAGCATTACACTATGTACTGAGTCTGTGCGAAGGTCGAACACCATAAAAACCTCGAGGGCTTTACTTACACAAGGCCAAGTATGAGCAGTTGTGGAAATTTTTTAGATCTTTTTTCCTTCGACTAATGGCATTACTATCTAGCTTGAATGATAGTGATAAATAGAACAGAGTGAAGAAAAAAAAAATTTTATTAATTAAAATAAAATAATTTATCATTGTGTGCTGTATGGATTAAATAAAATGTCATATTGTTGATACTCCTAAGATATCTTCTTTTGTCTATTGTGATTTGTTTATTTTACGGCAAGAGTGGAAATTACAGAAAGATTTTTTCAAATGCACGTTGCTTGTCTGCCCTGATGAGCAATTTAATGGTAATTTCCCAAGCATCTTGGATACAAGATGATAGACCAAATTAAAGAACACTTACATTACAATTTCATTAATATATCAACAATTGAACAAGATTGATGCGATACCGGTATGCTTGTTATAGAAAAATGCAATATGTGTGTATCTGTATGTGTATCGAGATGGAAGACTTGAACTCTCATGGCACATCTTGACTATACTAAAAAGAAAAAAAGTTACAATTTTATTGATTTTAGTCCCTGTTCGATTTGAATCAAAATTAGATTTTAATAAAATTTGGTTAAGTGCGTGGTTAAAAAATTAATAAAAGTTGTGAGTTCCGCGAAATTTGTGATTAAAAATGAGTTTAAAGAAATAAATTTTAAAAAGTGAAAGTCAAACAAGTAACTTATTTTTCAATCTTATTAAGTGGATGTAGCAAGCATACACTTTAAAAATTGATCCCAAAATGCAAAACAACAAACTTCGTATACAATGCAAATATGTACAAACCAGATTCTTTTTAGTCTAGGTAAGTGCATGTTTGGTTCTGATTTTTCACCTTAAAAAATCAATTTTTTAACGTTACTTTCCTAAGTCAGTCCTCATTTTTTACTTCTCTCACAAGTGGGACCCACTTTTCTCTCTTACGGTCAAAAAATCAATTCTAATGATCACTATCAAACAAGTCATAATGCATATTGTCTTAGTTTTCAAAGTCAAATATGATTTTAATTTGGGTTCACGTTTAAAAAGATGAAAAAAGAAAAATACTTAAACAAGTAAACAACAACTAAAAAAAGGAAATACAAAGAATTCAGAAACTGTAAAACTGAAAATGAAAATAAAAAAGGAGACAGTTAATCTGGATTCTTCCTGGCACAAATCAACAGAGAAAATGCAACCTTTTCTTCATCTTTTTGCTCCAAATTTTTCTCCTCTAACCACAACCTGCTATCCAATTCACTTCTTGTCCTAAGCATGAATACAGCATATCCTGATGATAATTTGAAAAGCCAATCATGAACATCCCACATCATATCCACCAATAATCCGTCGAGAAAAATCGTATGACTTCCGCGAAAATTCCAATGCAATCTTTTTACTTGAATTACATTCTTCTTATCAATATAAACAGATAATTCAGGATTCTTAAATCCCTTTTCTTTTTCTGAGCACTTAATCAAAATATCATGTATCGTGCCCGAGTCACAAAATTTAGCCTTAGTGGAATATACCGCGTTACCTGAGAAATGTTCACTGCGCGACACCAGTGAAAATCGTGCCACATGGATATCAACAATTCGTTTCTTGACCTCGAATTCTTGTTCCATATCTCCAAGATGTAAGCCTATTTCCGAGTTGACCAAAACCATAACATAAAATCCGTTGATCGGCTCAGGTCCATTGTCATATCGAGCACGAGAGATATCCCAAAAGACTTCAATCCTTGAATCACAGGATTCAAAAGTTTTTGCACCTTTGACCTTGCTTAAAAGCCTGGAGTTTTTACTGAATTTGGAAGGGCAAAAAGGATAATCAGAAATACCAATAGAGAAGCCTTGGCCTAACAGATTGCACCAGGTGAGTTTGATCATGACCTGCTTCAAAGTTGACAGTTTGACTTGGTAAATACATGTCACTGCATTTTGGATTGAAGGGATCAAATTTGTTGAAGAATAAGCCTGATTTGAAGGACCTGAACAGTACGAATCCGATACTTTGATCGCGTGTTCACTATAACACGCTGCGATATTTCTCATAGTCGAAAAATCCCAGAAACTAAAAAAATGTTCTGATAATTGATTCTGCTGACAAAGAACTGCAAGAAACAGAAGATAGATTAATTGAGATAGGTGGGGTAGGTGTCAATTGTGGATGAAGAAGGTTTTTATCCTTTGCCTTTGCAGGAAGAAAGAGGGAGCTATAGAGCATAGAAGATTGAATTGTATGTGTATGTGTATGTGTATGTGCCTTTATTCTCTGATGAAAAAGTCTTTTCTCTTGGACTTCTAGCACTGTTGTAACTGAATTACCCAGGAAATTAAGGATATCAAAGTTCCAGTTATTGGACAGGCAATATTACATTTATTAGGAATCTCTAATTCTAATATATATGACAAATTCATATATGGTAATAAATGGCCATATTAATTCGCAGGATGTTTCTTCATACGGCTTTATGAATGACAGTTCCTGCATGACAATAAAAAATAAATAAATAAATCAGAAAAAGAAAAAAAAAGAAAAAAAAAACCAAGGTAGTGCACCAAGGTTTGACTGGATCTGGTTCTTAGAATATAAAAATCATTAGGATAATTATCAACTTGATCAAGATAATCTAGCAAGTAAAAATCAGGTCTGATTCCATTATTTTATATGGCTAGTAAGACATCTTATTAAACTAGTACTTGTGTCATTTTCAAATGACAGTGATGGCTTGATATACTCGATGATTCTTTTGTTTGTTCGGCAAAAAAAATTAGAAATTGTTCTATGATTTTATTGAATTCTTTTATATATTAATTTAAAGAATTAATCACATGACATATTTAGTACGTTAAACTGAATATAATACATAGGGGGTGTTTAAGAGGTATTTTTATGTAAAAATATATTTTAGAATAGTAACTTGATGGGAAGTATGTGGTTGAAAAATAAAGAAAAGTTTTTGATTTATATGTAATATTATTTTAATAAAGAACGTGTGGTTAAAAAGAAGAGAGAGAAAAATGTATTTTGAAAAAAATGGGTACCAAACGGGAGCATAATTAAACATGACAACTAAAAAAACTCTCACCTACAATTTATTTTATTTTTTTATTTTTTTTTGTCTTATCTAGCCGGGCTTTGTTAAAAATGAAAGAGAAATTGAATATTCAGACCCTGTTTGGCCTTCATTCTCTTTCATTTTTTTCTCTTTCTTATTTTCAACTACACAATTTTTCATAAAATAATATTACATGTAAATCGAAAATTTTTCATTCTTTTTTAACCACACATTTTTAAAAAAAAAACACAATTCCTAACGTTAAGATTTGAAAAAATGGGGGTCAAACGGGGCTCAGCATATATGTTCATCTTAATGATGAATATTTTTATTTTAATGAAGACATTTACTCACCATTTTATACTAAGCTCCTATTTGGCATTCATTAAATTACATTTCATTTTTCTCTCTCTCTTATTTTTAATCACACAATCTTTTATAAAAATAATATTACACGTAAATAAAAAAAAATTCTTCTTTTTCAATCACTCAATTTAAAAAAAAAAATCATTTCACCTATTTTATTTCAAAAAATAGAGGTCAAACGGGGATTAATAATGTGGTAAAAGGTGAATACGCGTGTCATACGATATCATTCTAGGCCAGGGTTAAGTCAAGAATTGGGCCCAAGCAATCATAAATAGACAGGAAGACATATGCTACCTTAATGTTGTTAACGCACGAATATTTTTCACTCTCACACGAAACTAGCGTTATTATTACAGCACGACAAGCCATAATAAAATACCTATATCAATAAAAATTAAATATTTTGAAAATAATTGATTCCATTAGTTGTGTATTATTTGTGTGTTTGTGGGATCATCATTGTAATTTCGGACTTGCTCGATTGTAATTATGAGAATTGATTTTTTTTTTTTTATCTTTAGAGAGAAAAGTGAATTCTACGTGTGAGAGAAGAAATCAAAAAATTGTTGAAATAGTGAAATATTAATCAAAAAATTGATTTTTTGAGATGAAAAATCAATATCAAACATGCACATATAGTAAACATCCCTTGAAAATGTTGAATATGGCTAATGTTTATAAATTATTTATAATCGATCAAATTATTTTTATTCACAAACCTATAATCATACCATCCATTCATGCAGGGGCGGACGCAGATAAATTGAGTTAGGGGGCACAATCAAACTTTGTACAAATCGAATACTTCGTTTTTGATTTTTGAATGATTCATATCTAACTAGTAAAAATGTAGATTTACCTTTCAAAAATATTTCTTCATTAATATATTGCAAATCATTTTCATCTATTTGATTTTGAACAATTATTATTTTAATATTTTGCTCATCACAAGAAAATGCATATTTATGTTTTAAAAAATTGTGTATTTGATACAAACAATCAATTCAAGTAATCGAAAGAAAAACAAATAACCAATATTCAATACTAATAATCAGTCAAATAAACACAATTCGTTAGATATAAGTTAAACTTTATATAATCAGTTTAGAGAAGTGATATATACACAAATAGGATAGGAGAAAATACAAATTTAAGTTCTAATTAGTTGAAATTTGGATTGAAAAGTGAAAATTTGTAGTAGATGTGATAATTGTAGAGAAATTATAAATAAATTATAAAAAATTAGAAGAATTAAGATTTTGGTAAAATGCTTGAGGGAGAGAATACGATATAGCAATAAAAAAGAGAGAAAATTTAAATTTATTGTGATTTTATCTCTGTTTGGTGGGGATTAAAGTCCGAATTTTAGTAAATTTTGATAAAATTTTAGAAGTTAAGGAATTTAGGAAATATGTTATTAAAATTAATCATTAACTTTGATTTAGATTAAAATTTAAATTTCAATCGATACCAAATATGACTTTATAAATAATAAAAAAAAAGGAAAAATCGCAAAAGTTTGGGGTGTCAAGTGGGCCCCGCACCTCTCCAATAAGGAGGTGCCACTTTTACATTATGACACCCATTATGGATGCCATAATGTACACCTAGCATCCTCCATCATTTAGTTATTTATTTATTTATTAATTTTTACACATCATTATGAAATTGTCTCTTGGAAGTTGTCTTGTAGTTGTTGATAAGATTTTTAGTTGCATATCAGCGTCTCATTGTCTCACTTTGAAGTCTCCAACTGTATTATCCACAATTCAGTTGCAGTTGGGAACATTTAAAAAGCTTGAAAATGTAGAACTTAGAAAAAATTTTGACTAGAAAAATCGATGTCCTTTTCTATCCTTTTATATCCTGATCTGGACATAAATCTCATGTTCATACCTAAAAATGGATTTTTTTTGTGTATGCGTCTGAAATATGATTTTTAAAAAAAGGAGACTCCAGACAATTTGGCTCATAAGTAGGTATGATTTTAAATGCTTTTTCCGTCTGTTACAACTACCAGTTAAATAAAGAAAGAGATAAGTTTTTGTGTAATTTAAAGTACAAAACTTGGTAAGGGAAAAAGAATCATGGATGACTGCATGGTTTAAAGAAATTTGAAGGTGCCCCCAAGTCAGGGGAGGTCATACGCTTTAAGGGCTGCGGATTAGCTCGAGGAATAGTGCTATCTAGCAGCTGTCAGCAGTCTAGATGATAATTAAATAGCATTTGACATATTCAAAAATTAAATTTTTAGTAGATTTTAACAGAAATCAATTAAATGTGTTGTTGAAAAATTAATAAAAGTTATGAATTATATGAAATGTGTGATTATAATTAGTTTTTGATTTCGATTTAGATTTCTATCAAGTTTTTAGCTATACAAAAAGTGGCTAATTGATATACTATTGTAAATGAAGCATATCAATTAATGTGAACAAGTCCATGTCGAACCTCGCACTTTTCTTCTCAAGCTATGCTTGGTGTGCACAATATACATCAAGTTTGATCGCTTCTCACATGCGAGGGAGCTCACGCTAAATAATTTATTTGTAGGACTCCTTCATGTGAAGGATTGTACACTTGTACACAAGTGGAATAACCCTTTCTTCTCAATGCCGCATTAGCCTAGATGGACAGAAAAGTGTAGGGCGTGCTGCATTGCAACGATGACGGGTCCATATGGTGTCTTGTGAGATCCTTTGACCCCACAAGATTTTGAATTTTTGTTTGTTTGTTTTTTTATTTTTCTCAAAATTTTATATTTTTAATTTTATTACTCCCCTCTTCTGAGCATCGTGAATTGCTTTTTCTTTAAAAAGCATGTTTATAAACACCCAAATCACTTTTTATTCACATATTTCGAAGAATTACAAGTACTACCAATTTATTCACTACTCAGTTATATCCTTTTAAAATATAAATCCTTTATGAACACTTCAAAACAAGCTTTCATTTCTCATTACTCTCTAATGTCCAGGGCTTATCAATTCCATCAAAACCTAATGTTCATCCCTGCTTGACTTGTTAGCCACTTTGGTTTAATCCTATTTCAAAAAGATATTACAACTTACTTTTAGAGCTCACAATAAAAATTTTCTAACTCTGCCATTGACTAAAACACCTCAAAATCAACCCGAACCACTCCACAGAGATCGGCTTGGCTCCTTAGTTTCTTGATATACTTAAGTGTGGATAGATGCTTGAAATCCTTACATCAAAATATCAACAATCTGAACGTGCAAGTTCTCATCACACAAAAGGATCCCACTTACTGAGATTTGGGACCATGAAGACCAGTTCCATTTTTATTGCGTGGAATCCTTTCTTCATAATTTAGGAGGCAGGTTCTGGTCAATGCCATGCAATAAAACCTCAATGTCGGATGCAAAAGTGACTGCACTTATAATGTTTCATCGATGAGAAACACGATTGTTTAAGGAGCAAGAAATCTGTGGACCACAGAAGCCAATTCATAATTTAGGGACACAAACTAAGAGTCATTAATTCATGATCGTTTTACTCGTAGCTTTCGTGTCATTATTGCTCTTGAAAATAAATATAAATCATAGGCATTCCAAGTGAATGAGATAAAAGACAAATAAGAATATAATATTCCATTTTGTGAGTCAAACTGGGTTTAATCTATATTGTTTGCTTAGGTTCAACTAATACATAAAACAAACCAATTTCTCTGATGATTTAGTAGACAATCTGCCCAAGCCAGCTCACAAATTTTAAGTCTTTGCTCTAAGATGCGGAATTAATGGTCTCAATTATACTAAACCCCAACGACTGCACCAACCAAATTTAGTTTCTAAGTAAGCAAAAACGACAAATTGTTGAAGCCCACATGCATAACTTGATGCCCCAAAATAAGTAACTACGTATAGATTTGATATCTATTAACATAATGAAATCATTAATAGAAAGAGTACATATCCCCTTATTCTCATCTTCTTT